ATTACTGGGAGTTTGGCAGGCTCTAGGTGAGAATAAACAAACATTACCAAGAGACTAAAGCACATATGACCAAACCATGAACATCTGAATGAAGAGGAAGATTGGGTAAGGAGTCACATCCACACAGTGTTCTTCAGGGATTGGAATAGCAACTGTAACCAGCTGGTTTCTAGACCTGTCTGCAGCTGAAGACTCAGCAAGGGTCAGTGACTAGAGTGCCCTTTTATGTTGAGCCTATATTACTCTTATTTTAATATGATTTTGGTTTTACTTTTGAAGGGGTTTGTTCAAGACCAAGTTAAAGTGAACCCATGTTAATCAAAATTAACCTCTCACTATCTATCACAGTCAGTCAAGTCTCCTTGGACATTAATTTTATAACCATGTGGAGATCTATCCTGATCCTCTGCCACCTTCCAGAATGGGTCACAGTCTTTCTTGACCATGTGGCTTTCTGTCTAAGCATGGGTGGTGATCCTCCCTTTAGCACACTGTACATTGGTTGACAAGTCTCTGGGTTCCAGTAATCTCCCCATTCAAGAAGTTGTGAGGCTTAGAAAGTTATAGTATCCTATAGAAAGGGTCCTGGGGCCTTGTTGACATTGGCAGGTCAGGGCCAAAATACTGGCTGTCCTCCTAGTCTAGGTGCTTTCCTAGCTTTGGTCTCCAAACCTTAGTAGTTGAAGATCCGGGACATGAGTTACACTAGTATTATAGTGGGATAAATAGGTATAATCTTATGATTTTTTTTTATATCACCCACCTTGAAATATACAATATGACCAGGGAACTGTTATTTCTTTACTAATCATGATTGTTTTAGAAATTGAATCCCTGCATAATATTAACAGTTGACAGTTATAAGGCTATAATGAGAATATTTTAGGTCACATTTCAGCATAACAATCCCGATGACATCATTAAATGAGATGAAGAAATTTTTACTTAAATTTGTCATTTTCAATATTGTGCCATCTAAGAATAATATATCTTATATGACTTTGCCTGGACTGCACGGTATTTGAGCATCATAAAGTGTTGGAGCACATACACAATATACAACTAATAATGCTGGCTGTTTTTCTTATTGGATTGGTGTGCACATCTTATCACAAGTAGCTGGAAGATAAGTAAGGGGAAGCCTGATGCTTGAGCCTAAAAATTTAACACCATAAATAACTTTATCCTGGAAATCACTGATATTTAAATTTTGTATCTCTGAAGACCTGTATGCTTGGGTAACAAATATATTTAATTCAAGATGAAGTCAGCAATGAGTGTCACAGATCAAGTCATAACTGTCCAAGGAGGCACCTCTGTCCTGTTTCTTGTCAAGGACCAGTCTATGTGTTCCAGTTAGCCATGCAGGAAACTCATGTCCACTATCAATTTTAGAAATGAGAGTTACAGCCTTTGCCTGGAAGCACAAGTTAGACAAGAGAGGAAAGATGGGGCCTAGGAAGGGTATTCTTGAATTTTCACATGGTTAAATTTCACTGGTTGGGAAATTAGTCTCCAAGTAACATTGAATGGCAAAAATATATTACTACCAGCAGAAAGCAGGAATAAAAGCAAGTTAATTCTCTAACTGTACTCTGAGAATTTACAATGTACAAGAAATGACTTAAGTATATCAATGAAACAAAAATACCCACTCAAATTGAAAGCTAAAAGAAAATTAATTAATTTTTGTTTCCCTAGGCCTAAAATGTTTATTTCTCCTGTTCAGCTAGTCCCTGTCAATGAGGGGTTTTTTGGGGGGGTTTTTTAATGAGTTTTTAATTGTTAGAAATGAATTTGTCTGTTTAGACTCAAATGGGATTCAAGAGGCATTGAAAGGATGATGAATAGTTTTGGTCATTCTAAAAACATATAAACAGCTTTTTCATGGATATCTCAAAAAGAATGAAAAATAAAGTTGGGCTCAAACAAAGCAGATGCTTGAACCTTTGAAAAAATACTAATGAAGGGGATTTTTCCTCAAAAATTTGTCCCAGTATGGCATAATTTACTGGCTTTACTAGTGCTGCCTTTAGCCCTTCATTTTTATGAAATAGACTCAATTGATATACAGTATTATAATTCAGAGCTCTCTTGTAGGGCCTTATCTCAGGGGGAGCATCCCTATTTATTTGGAATGGTTTGAGTTTTACTGTGTTATGTGTATCAGCTTCAAGGTAATATTGAAGGAGAGAGAGAGAGAAGCAAAGAGATCAGAGAGCAAAGAAATCTTGAGCATAAGAGACCTCCTGTCACTTCCCACTTCCCTGAAGGGAGTTATCAATAGTATAAAAATTTGGAAGTCAAATCTGCCAATTCATACCATTGGCTGCATAATATATGAGTTATTTTGGCAGAATATCCCATTTTAAACCAAACAAGGTGCGAAAGAATTTTTAAACCACAATGTATCTTCATAATTTGAGAAATTTGGGCTCCCATAGTAACTGATAAGAGAGTATGCCAGTATTCTTAGCCTTGTGATGTCCTCCCAAAAGGACGAGGGTCCCAGAGATCCTCTTGTGGACATGGCCTGGCCAGATCAGAGAAGTTGTTTCTGAGAGTTTGGGCAAGTGGCTATGCTCCAAATATCTGCAGAAGTCCACAACAGAACCTAGTCCTGCAGGATGCACAGGGGTCTAGGATGAACCTCCACTTCCCAGGTTCACCTGAGGTAAGGTGGGACAAATCTTAGCAGTGCTATGTTGGATAATTAAGTGTCCAGTGTTGAGTAAAGGGTTAGCAAGAAATGGCATATAACCATATGAGATCATAAGGAAGAGGGGGAGAAAGAGAGGGAAGAATGGGGGTGTGTAGCTCACAAAAGGAAGAAGTGAGGGATATTGAGGTCATCCTCTTGAACTCTGACCCATGTTAGGCACCAGATTTTAGGACAAAAAGGAAAAGAATCGGGGTAGAAGCTCAACAGGACAGGCTTATTTCATTGCAAACATGAGAGGGATCACTATGGCAATCAAGAAGAGACCAACAATTCTCATACTGTTTACAAGGTCTCTATAGGGTCATGAGCATAAAAAATGGGCACTGTTAAAGGGAATTTCAAGTCAGGGAAAACATTTTCCCCAGTGGTTCCTCAGAAAAAGGGACTAACATCTAGAGCACATAAAGAAGATTTAAAAATCAGCCCACCCAAATTTAAAGACCCAATCCAAAAATGGCCATCTGAGATGATACACACATCTCAGATGAAGAAGTAGAAACTGCAAAGAAAGGCATGAAAAAATGTTCAACATTACTGGTCATTCAATTGATGCAAATTTAAAAATCCCTGAGATTCCACCTTGCTCCATAAAGAATGGCCATTTTCAAGAAATCAACCAATAACAAATACATATTGGGATGTGGAGAAAAAGAAAGCTTTCTCCAGTGTTGGTGGGAGTGTAGACTGGTGCAACCACTGTGGAAATCAGTGTGGAGATACCACAGAAAACTAGGATTAGAGATCCCATTATATCCAGCTATTCCACTTCTGCGGATATTCCCAAAATAATTAAAAGCATCCTACCACAGCAATATATGCACACCCATGTTTATAGTGGCACAGTTGTAATAGCTAAAACATGGGGGAAAATGCAATTGCCCATCAACTGATCAATGGACACAAAAGATTTTTTTTATATAATGGAGAATTATTCAGCTATAAATAAGGATAACATTGAGGCATTTCTAGATAAATGGATGCATACTATTAAATAAAATAAATTGAACACACATGTAATTATCACATTGTCTTTCTGCTGTGAGAAACTGAAAATGTAAATAAGGACTGAAAATGTAAATAAAGACTAAAAAGAATAATATTGGGAAATAGAAATTGTTCAAAATTATACTGTGAGATACTTTATTAATAATTAAAATGCTTTTTGACAAAATGTAGTATTATTAGAAAATAAGCTAGAGATAGATTAGCAATTCAAAATATATTCTCTTAGGGCCAGGGATTTATCTCAGTGTTTCTGCTGCCTGCTTGCAAGCACAAGGACCCAAGTTCAATCCCTGGTACCAAAAAAAAAAAAAAA